GCACACCCATTTCGGCACCTCCACCAAACACAGCGTTTCGTGGCCCCACAGGGACCTCCACCGAAGGCCCCAGTGGTGCCGCCCGCATGCGTCACCCCCACCCCAGCACAGCATTTCGTGGCCCCACAGGGAGCTCCACCGAAGCCCCAGTGGTGCCGCCCGCATACGCCACCCCCACCCAGCACAGCGTTTCGTGGCCCCACAGGGAGCTCCACCGACGGCCCCAGTGGTGCCGCCCGCATGCGTCACCCCCGCCCAGTACAGCGTTTCGTGGCCCCATAGGGAGCTCCACCGAAGGCCCCAGTGCTGCCGCCCGCATGCGTCACCCCCACCCAGCACAGCGTTTCGTGGCCCCACAGGGAGCTCCACCGAAAGCGGCACCCGCAATGCGATATTCACAACTTCACATGGTTGGGTCTTTCGCCCGGATAATTTTTGTTGTGATTTCAATGATGGTTTAGGCCGCATCCGAGATGATAGTGGCAGATGGGTTTATGATGATTTGAATGTGGTGCCCAGCGAGAAGGCGTCGCAGGCACACTACGCGGGGGCTTTCATGGGTCCCACTCTGGCTGCACAGGGTCTACAGGCGGCCAATACCTTTCGGGGGTAAGCGCCCACCTTCTACTCGCTCACGGGTCACGCGTCGAGGATCGATGTATGTCTGCCCCGACCCCTGGTGCAAGTGCTGAAGGCTGCGGGACCTCTGCGAGGGCTCAATCGAGATCTTCCGGTTATTCCAAAAGCTAAGCCATGTGATCATTTAGTGGTGCACGCTTTGGTACCATGTGTGCTGGCACCTGCTGGCGCTGAGGAGGCATAAGCGAAGAGATCACACTGAAACTTCGACCCGATCATGATATGCGTTCGGGGTGGGACTCGTCGGCGTGAATTTCTGGAAGCCTTAGAGCGTCGGCTTCAAGCTGAGGGTGTCTTCTGGAAGAGGATCTGAACTCGGCGACGGCTGACTCTTTCTTCGACCGTATGAATACAATTCTCATCGAGGTCGGCCAGCAGATATTCACCGAGGCTGTGTTTGTGAGCGATTCACGCCAGAGTGTTCGCCAGACACGCGGATAATTTCTAGCTGAGCGACTTCGGCTTCGGCGTCGGCTCTGTGGGGCAACATCGGAGGAGGAGGGGGAGGAGGAGGAGGAGGAGGAGGAGATTGCTGCACGCTTACGGGAACTGTCTAAGCGTAATCGAGCACAGCGTCGTCGGGAACGGCTCCTGGTGCAGCTAGATCTGGTTGCAGAACTTCAAGAGCATTGGCGGGCTCGACGCCTGGCTGAGGCCTCGAGACAAGCTAGGCGACTGGCAGGGTCTCGGTCGGGCCCGAAGAAGCGTGATTACCAAGCTGTTCGAGGAGTGGTGGAGGATTCATCGAGTTTAGTGGCCCAGTTTTCGAAGAAGGGGTACGAAGGTGGGGTGGAGAGTCGGGTGGTCGAGTCC